CTAGAGGGAAGGCAGCTAGTCATCACCACCCACCGCCAACTCTTGGGCTACTCTTTTACCAACGAATAGTGGGATTGACCGTCACATTATAACGCCCCCACGGCTGAAAGGGCGAGCATGTTTGGTGGGACGGGGATGTGAACCCGCGACCCGCAGATTGCGAGTCGAGCACTCTAACCACCTGGCCATGCCGGGCAAGTTATACAGTAAATGATACATTCAGTGGTACATGTGAAGGGCTGTCTTATGTCTAAAGTTGTGTTTTGTCATCGTATATGTGTGGTGCTGTTTATATGTGGGCAGATGACACATCTGTTTCGTTTACATGTGTGAATGCCTGGAGTACCATTTGTTTAAGGTTACTGTGCATCAGAACTTATTTAAGGTTTATGCCCTCTTGCGCCTCCGTCACTAAAATCGTATTGGACAAATCGTAATGTATGCCAAAATTGAAACAGAAAGGCTGCATTATCCAATGAAACTGAGACATTTTATTTATGGAACCAATAATGACTCGTCACAATGCTTACAGAGTGGTTTATAAAGCTCATACTGAAGTAATGTATGCTAGACATCAATCAGTCGTGTTGAAGCAGCACAAATTTCATGTGTGCTCTGTCGGTTCATATCATAACCGTGTGATTGTAAACTAAGAAGATACCCTCAAAGAGAAAAAAACACTCCTGCTGAAGATGGTGTTATTTGTACCGAATTCCATCAAGTGTTATTATTCGAAATGCATATAGTAGCAAAACTGATATAATTTGTCCAAGTTATATTCCTCCTCCTCAATATTCCACTCCTAGCGCATCCTTATGATGCAAATAAAACTGCACAAGCTCTAAGCATTAGGTGAAAGGGAAAAAAATTAAACTAAATGTTTTCCCCCAAAACAAACTCAGCTAAGCATAATTTATTATAATAATATTATCATTCCTACTGAAGTCCGGTGCTGCAAAAATTACGTATGGAACATAGAACAGTTTGTACTTGACTCATGCCATGTGATAGATAGAAAAATGAAAGACCATACTAACTGACCAGCTGTAACATAATGGAAGTAAATTATCTTTTTCATACACGAGTCAGCAGTAAAATGAACAGTCTGAAAATACTTTGATAGGCCTCAACAATTAACATATATAGAGTACTTTAACCTGACTGGACTGATTAATTGACTGTATTCCAGGATTTTATCTTTGAAAAATATCCACGTAAGATCTGTGCGGATGTGTTTCCTTGTTAAACTATGTCTTGGGTTATCCAATAAAATTCTGTCTATAATTTCTGAGTGTGAAATATACTTATGTTGTAAAGTGAGCTATACACTCGGCTCGTTCTAGTTTGGTGAGCGATGTTTCTACTGCATCTTGGACATGAGCGAATTAGCCACCAAGAATTGACGTATAACGATACCAGTCCTTTGGGAATTTTTCCGAGTACGAAAGAGCGATGATGATATCCTAGTTTTAAATTGCATTTATATATACACAGAGAGAGATAAGTGCCAGGCATGCATACCAGCGATACAGTTACTGTATGTTACTAGCTGATTCTACAACACTTGCTCGAACTGGTAAACCTATCAACACACTCCAGAGTCCAAATGTTCAGCGTGTAAGAGGTCATTGATGTGGAAAAATAGTGAAACGTGTTGAAACTTTGTACTTTTCACACTTGTCTGAAGAATGTCTGCTGTCCCTGATGCTGGGTGTAAACCAGCTGAAGCAGACGTGATCATACACACAAGAACACCTATTTGGTGTGGGTTGTATGGCGTGGTCAGTAGTGAAAAGGGTGTTCCTATGGATGTTTTAAGTAAGATGTAATATTTCTGAATTCATGACAGAATGATCCACCTAACTAGCCTGTCATTGCCTGTGTCGAGCACGTGCACGAGTAGTGGGATGTTGTGCGCACGAAGTGTCAAAAGTGTGATATACGGGACACAAATGGCACAAAGACGACGGGCTGACAAGATTAAAAGACAAAAAACAAACAAATTTAGGCCTACTTAAAACTACTGACAATCAATAGCGTCTATCAAATAGCCACCATGTAGGCTGTTGCTCTAATGGCTTATTGTCGGATTTAATCTCAAAATACTCAGAAACGAACCATCAAGTTGTTCCACAGGTCGTGAGACGTCGACAGTTTGAAAGATTTCATGTTTATATATTCAACACTTCTCTTTCAGCATACATAAACATAAGCCAATACTTTAATTTTAAAATTTCATAACAAATCACTGAAAACAATAAACATAAACAACTTAGTATTGAAGGTCAAACTTTCGTCAAATCCACCTCAATTAAAATTTTAATCTTATAAGCTTGCCTAACAATAATTTTAATTTCTAGATTGTGTTCCTGCCATGCATAAAAATTATTTTTGCAATAAAATATTTTGTTACTATTTACCTCAGATTTCTTTCTGTTCTGTCCTTAAATCAAATAAAGGTGGTGTTGGAAATATTCATGTTTAAAAAAAGACAATAAACAAACAAACTAAAAAGACTTGACACAAGGTATATTTCGATTGTCATTCCAAGGCACACCACCAATTTCCTACAATTTATGTTACACGGATTTTAGTTTTTTTTTGTGCATGATACAAGTCATAATATCTATCAGATACCTGAAACATTGTATGGTTTATTGGTAGGCTCTAAAGAAGTAAAAACTAAGGCCAGCCAATCCTAAGGAGTAATACCATATATATATAAAGAAACATTTTAGTTTTTTTTATATAATAAGCTCAAAACTTGTCTGAAAAACATCTTATTGCTTCTATCTATCCATAGAAAAACTAACAAACCAAAATAAAAAGTAACTCACCATCCATTGTAAGCAAAGAGTCCCGAGTAGAAGGAAAGTGCTATCTTCGTGATGTCCGATTCCGTTCCTTCAAATGAGAAGTGTTGTGTTTGTCCTAAACGGAACGTATTTGAAACCTTAGAAATATTATTAACGATACAAGTTCCAGGATTTCATGCTGTATCATGATGCTTACTGAATTAAGGAAAACAAAGTACATAGCAATACTTGCATTATTTTTTTATAAACCACATTTAAAGAATGACACAAACTGAACAGATAACATGGGCAGATTAAATAAAATAGAAAAAATAGTATTTTTTATGTACTAAGGATTATACAAATGTGCATATAAATAGTAGATAGCTGAGAAGTTTTGATCCTCTTGGTTTATCGAGCATCCTGAAAATAACAAGAGGTTATTCTACATTCAGCAGAAGCAGAAAATATAAACGTGTATCTTTTTCAGAAGGTATAAGAGATGACAAGAAACAAGAAGGGACCTTTAAACATCTCTTTTTTTTTTTCATAACAAATTGTAAGTGGTTGAGAGGCGTAGATTTGGACGCTAATGTAACATATAAACACGTGACTGTTTCACTTGAAAAATTGAAGTAACTTGTATAACATTTCAATGTTCTATGTAGTTAATATATGAAGAAAAAAAATGTAATATAACACTAAAATTAAATTTCTAAAGAGAAAAAAGAAATGATAAAAATATTTATCAGCTGAGCTAACCCCGTGGCGGTGTTTCCAATACAATAATATTACTGTTTAGTATATTCCCAGGAAAAATACTTAACAAATTTATCTATTAAGATAACATATATCGAAAAATTTGGACGAGATCTGAAATATATAGTTACTGCCTTAAAGAAAGTTAGCTTGAAATCACGGTACAGTTTTGCCAGTCATAACTTGGGGTCCAAGACCACGGGTCAAGTTGTCACCAAATGACAGCTAGCATTAACTTCCGATCTTCCTACAAATATTACTCATTCTATCGAGTTCCACTCACGATTGAATTTACACAAATGTTAAAACCACAGCTTCTCATGGAGCCTAATAGAATTTGTGAAACAGAATAAAACACATACATATGTATATGTTACTGTGTCTTTTAGCTTGAGGGAATTACACCTAATCTGGTCGAATCTGAATTTTTCAAGACAGTAGACAAAAAGTAATAGAAAACTGAGAAATGCATGATTATCGAATGAAACACTGCTGGAGTTCAAGCGGTTTTACAGAAAGATAGTCATACGACAATATTTAATTAAAAACAAAGAGATTTCGGAAATGTAAAGCACTAATCAATATCACGAAAAATAATAAATTATACCTCTTCAGACGAACATTTATTAAGGTCGTGGATTAAGGCGTTGGTGTTTAAAGCGGCCCCAAAGATAGAACTTCTTGCTTGTCAATTTTTGACTCAGTCCACCACAATTCTACCAGGAGACTAAGAGGTGTGATTTAGCATGAGGACAAAATCAGATCGGATTGTATCCGGAAAAGGTTATACAGATAAATCCAATACCACGTCAAAATAAGTTCATACAGTTAGTCCAATAGTATATGTAGACTCGCTTTCCAGTAAAACAGTACGGCTTGAACGGCTCTGTGCCGTTCCTTACCGTACCTCAACAATCACTGAGTAAATTGTTCACCTCTGACTCTGCTGGTACAATCATTAGTAGAGTGATGGAATTTTGACACAACTGAGAAGAGTACAGATGTATCCAATTATGTTGATTCCAGTCCTAGTAATATTGATGAAGATCATAATAAGTTGTGTGGCATGGTTTTGTGAACGATGGAGCTGATGCAAATCTTCTCCGACTGAAGCCAAACTCCTGTGGGCTGTTCCTCATCGTATGATCACTGATAAGCCGTCTAGATGCTGACCTGAAGTCCATATTGAGCCCATTGTTTCACAATGGCTATGTTATTCATCTAGTGAACATTACGTGGAGTTAAGTCTCCACGAATTTGTTTAGGCCGACTAGTATATAAATCAGTTGTCTGAGAGTGTGTCCACTATATTCCTACTGATAACAGACTTGTATACACCAACTCGAGCTGCTCTTTGGCAGTTTTCAACATTATAACTGTTCTAGCTGTCAAACTTCCTCAAACATTCTCCGCCCACTAGTGCCACTACCAGCGGGTAATATTACCACACAATTACCTACCGCTAACTTTTGTTCCTTATTTTTCAAGTAACGTTATATCTACTGTAACACTAGCTTTTATTCCTGCCCCTGGTGACTCAGCAGTAAGTCTGAGGGCTTATAACGCTAAAAATCGGGGTTCGATACTCACGATGAGCACAGTCCATATAGTTCACCATATAGCTTTGTGCTTAACAACAAAGAAACCTCTATAGATTCCCTATTAATAAATCATGAGATAATGAGTCGAAGGACTATTTAACCCCTACGAAAATCACCACTTCAAATCACGTATAATTAAAACGTTCATGACTATCACTTCTAAAAAATCAGATTCATATATATATATATCCAGCGAACTATATCTGATGTTATTTTAACAACCAGTGTCTTTCCAGAGCGAGAAAAACGTGTAAAATGCGCCAAAACAGCTGCGAATTACCACAACACTAGTGAAAGCGTGCACAATGTTAAATATTTATTGATTTTTGAAACATTTTCTTTATACCTAATCAATGGCAACAGTGTCATGTCAAGCCCTACCGAAACAAGAAATCAGCACCATAAATTTATTTCAAAAGTAAAAAACCACCTTAAAATCAAATACAATTATTTTTAACTATAACCTTTTAAATGGTTTCCTTCACAATGTCATACTGTTTCTTTAAGTCCGAAATATTTATTGACAGACACGTACGTCTTTCTTCAACCACGCTCTAAATTGGACTCTTGAACACACTGGTCTAATGTCAACACCATGAAACACAGTATCCTCACTGTGCAAAACAGGTTCGAATTTCAGAACATGAGAAACTAACTACGGAGAAGAAGCTACATTAAACAAAATGTCATGACGTATAGTATTACTTCCTTATTGCAGCTGCCCAGATTTCCAATGCCCTCACACTACGTGGTAACGACACAAAGAATATTGTGTTTAATTACTGAAGAGAGGAAACTTTAATTTGTATACATTATTGTGTTTTTCTTTACCTGTTCCTCACTTTTTTTGCCATACTTAGACTTCTTGCTCGACTTGACGATTGCCATATAGACTGCTAAACTTAAAATTGAGACATAGATTTTGCTGTGGATTGCATTGTGATAAATTCTTCCAGTGATAGAGAACAAATAAAGCTCTCTCTCTCTCCAGTTCAACACATAAGAACTTATCTAAATGTAAACTTTGACTTTGCTTTAATAAAGATACGATTGTTTGTAGACCCGTGTCCAGTCTCTTTTGTTTTATAGACTCATTAACAGGGAAAATATGGCATTGTTCATTAAGTATCCGATGAATCCTCCTGTTTTTGCTATTCCTGCAGGTTACTCTGAGAGAAATCAGTGTGATCTGAGAACTTCAAAGTAGGTAGGAAGAAGAAATTTTGGTAACGTGACCAGGATACTGATATTGTGGATGTCTGTGTTTCTCTGGATAAAGTGTCTTGTCTTCTGTGCTCTTCGAGGTTCTTGTACCATTGAGATGAAGTTTCATGTTCTAGGAAATGGCAGGGCTAGGCATGGGCTAATGGCTAGGGCACAGCCCAAGAGTTGGCGATGGATGTTGTTGACTAGTGCCTTCCCTCTAGTTTGTCATTTCAAAATTAGGGATGACTAGTGTAGATATCTCTCGAGTAACTTTATGCGAAATTCACACACACACACACAAAAAGGAAATGGTATTTCCTGCAAAACAAAGGACTTTTGATCAAGAGGAAGAGAGCCACTAGTGACTGGTTGTCAAAGAGAATAGTCGAGTTTAGGAGAAGTCCTCTCCTGAACATCCTACTTTTCCAATGCTGCAAAGGTCTCTAACAAACAACTCCTTGTAGTCACAGCCCAAGGAAGAGCTGCTGCTATCTAAAATTCTCCTCTGAGATTTGACATCAGCATGTGGGAAACTCGTTTGACTGAGAATCATTATGGTGGTTTGTGGTCTGACAGATCTGAGACTATGTGGTGCAGTTTTTACAGGATTCCTTGACAGTCACTGGCCAGAGTAGAGCCACCCAGCTCTAGTTAATACCACCACTGATCAAATGGGGGAGACTGGAGATACTAATGATGGACGATATTCACCAACAGATGTTGTTTTGGCATCAGTTGAAACAGATTAAGGTGTTGATCTGTAGAGCAGTTTTGAGCCTCTCTGTGAATACAGAACTACTGCAAGGACAACCACGGGTCACGGAGGAGCCTGGAATTATGCAGAATCATTAGGTGAGGTACTGAAGGCACCCCTCTTCTGTTATACAGAAACATGTATATAACACCTATCAGAGTGCATCAACACCTTCCCCAGCCCACCCTTGCCATATCAAATTAGCTCAGTCTGGCACAAGTCAACAGTCAATGGTAGGGAGGCTTATGTGAGATCACAACACCTGTGAGGGACGCAAAGCAGATTTTGCCTCTGATGTTCGAGGAAACGGCAAGGAAGAACTGTGGAGCAGGCAATGCAATGCCAAACCTTGAGTTGAGTGGGGCTAGCCACTGATGCCATCAAATACCAAGGCAAAGCTTCAGGACTGGAACCTGGGAATTACTGAGTTATGCCAACACTTTGGCCTGATGGAAAACTGAGCTGTCCAACAAGTCAAGTTTTGAGAGCTTGGATGCCTATGCAGATGATCTGTGCTAGTTTTACTGACTAAAATGATGCTGCAACACTTGGGTACGAGAGATATTCTCAACCTGAGAAGGGAAAATTTTTACAGCTTTTCCTAGCCCATACTTTCTGCTGAACTGGAGCTCCACTGATAGCAACCCAGCCACCAACATATTCTTGCATTAGTACCCAGTGAACGGGCAGAGCTATCATGGTCCTCCCAGGACACTTGAGCTACGGCCAGTGTCAGTGATGCCAGAGAAATGACAGAATGTTAGTATACATTACTCGAGTATCAGAGACTAAATATAGTATTTTGCATTTAATGAA